TTTTGGTTTCACCAATCCATTTTAATTTGTTTTTAATTTTGATTTAAGTGACCTATGCTCTTCACTTAAATAAAAATTAAGTCTGGATAACTAAACTCAGAGGTGTTACACGTTTAATCACCTGATCATTGTGTATCTGCTGCTTACTTGTATACCAGCCCTGCTTTTACAACACAGCGTGCCAAAGCTTTCAAAAGCTCTCAGTACAAATGAAAGCTTTCGCTGGCCTAGTCTGTTTACAACCACTTTTTGCTCACTTAAATAAATAGCTTAATGAAACTGAAAGTAATTTAAATGAGAATTAAATAAAAAATTAAATTAAAGTTAATTTCCACTTAAACGAATCTGGTGAAACTGGCTGTTAGAGATGTTTTCAGGTGTACATGGCGTATGAGTAACATTCTTTCCTGCTCATTTTTCCTGCGCAATTTCATATGACCACTTATTACTTCTTTATTTATCCATCAATTTTCTTCATTATCAACTAGATTTTTTTGTAACAGAACCGGCTTTAACACAGCTTTGAATGTACTAAACGTGAGATCGAAGTGATTTGATACAAGTGGCGCCCAATTTAAATATGGAACGTTTGAAAATTTTATATTATCAGGAATAAGGGCTTATTCCTTGCTTTAATCACTTTTTTAAAGATACAATAGGCAAAGGCAGATATCTCAAAAAAGGCAAATAAAAGCAACATCAAATGTGTGTATACGGAATCAGTGAAAACTAAATCGTGGACATTCTTAATCGAATATGCTCTATCTCTTTAGCAACAAAAAAGGCAATTTCCATAAAATCCAAACCAAGTAAAAAATGGTGGCTTGGTGAAAGTGATAGTGAATTGCAGTGCACCTAAAGTTTATATTCCAAGAGGCCATTTCATCTCTGGCATTTAGCCACATATACTCTTATTCGATAACTGCACCCTTGGATAGACAATCCTTTAACCTGTTAGAAAAATCTTTTTTTCTCTTTTTGGCACACAAACTTACTCGCGAAAATAATAATAGTGTAAGTACTACAATTGTTTACAAATAGTGAATGGTGCACTTGCACTAATATTAAGCAAATCCCAAAGAGATTTTGTAATACATATTAAAATAACGTAAAGTATTTTACTTCATTATATCGAGCCCTAACCGCCAAAATAACGTAAGTGACATTTTTTTCAAAATTTTCTTGTTGATGCAGAAATATTCCTAGAGCATCTGTCGCTTACGTTATTTTGGCGGTTAGGGCTCAATATTGCTGATAACTTTTACAGGCAGCTTCAAATGTGAATAATAAAATAGTGAATATGCAAACAAAGTTTGAAATGAAATAGTTATCGTATCTATTTTATTCACTATTATATTTCTTTAAATTTTATTAATTCATTAATTAATTTTTAAACGAAAATCAAATAAAAAATTTTAATTTTTACAATGCGTTTTTTCCTCAGTGTAGAATAAAAAATTAACTCAGTTTTCGGAATCAGCGAGCAATTCTATATGGGAATTGGATAGTGGCGTCCGTTGAACATTTTTCCTGTTAACCAGTGTTATTTTTCAGTTTTTGTCCTTTTAGTGCCTTCTTTTGCTTTTTTTTACTATTTCTAGTGCCTTTTCCTGCCCGTTTCGTTATTTTATTTTGCCTTTTCCAGCCTATTTCGTTATATTATTTTTTATAGGTTTTTAGATTCTAAAAATCCGTTCCTTGGTCATCACTGTTAACAATTTTTGTATGTGCGAACGCAATGACTACGCTCAGTCAAAAACGGAATATTGGGTATTTCTGTAGTTGCTTCGACCTCTAGCAATAGTAAATCGTCCTTATTAGTGTCATCAAATATATTAAAAGGTGCATATTGCAGCGAACTCCTGAACCGCAGGTCTAGACGAGATGTTAATTTGGCCTAGGCACAGCGAAAAATGTCCAGGGTGTAAGGCAAAAAGTGTTTTGTTTCTGATTTTGAAACAACAAATCTTACACTATTTTAAGTTCCTTCGAAATTCCATTGCGAGCCAATAAAGCAGTAACTAGTAATAAAAGCAAAATATTTATTTTCGTTTTATATTACTCTTTAATGTTCTGGCGAAGAAATAAATCATCCTTTTTTGCCCAATCATTTAAAACGCCACAATATAACCATTGTTAGTGCTAATGTCATTGTTTTTATGTTTGGGAGTTGAACTGGCTTTGACACTGCATTTACAAATACAATTTGAGAATTATGTAGTAGATGCACCAAACAGTTAAAGATAAGATTCATGATGAACCTACTCTGCTGAGTGGCAATTTATGTACTATGCTTGTGCTTATACTTATAAATGCATATGTATGTATGTATGCATGTCTTACCTTCTCTAATATGGCTCGACGAATCATAATAGCAAATCATTTTGGCCGATTGTGTCGATACCAAGAACAAAAGTATTATAAAATATATAACGTTAAACATTTTGTTCCTAATACAATGATCTGCACAATTCAGACTTAAAACTCAAACTAAAATCATTTTCAAGAAAACCAAATAACATAATTAAATGAAATGAAATTATCAATACATTATTCTGATAAGCTAACGTGTACATACATATCTATGTATAGTGAGCGGTCAAAAGTGCTCAATATTAAACATTATTTTAATACGTGTACTCAGTGCCGACTCAAAGTACTCAGTATTAAGATCCGTATGTAAACACTTATGTATACCCAAAGTGCACAGTACTATACGTGCATACTTACATACATTAGAACGATTCCGTTGCCCAGCAAGGATTATAAACAGTGTTGCCGCGCCGTCCCAAGAAAATGTATCACCGACCAAGCCAAAAATGTATCCAAATGTATCCAATTTTCTTTTTTTACGTATCCATCTCATAATTTGTAAGAAAACCAAACATTTTGAAGAAAAAGACATAATTTAACCCGTCCTAAGGACTTGGAATACGTGTATATATATTTTTATATTTCATAAAATCAAACATTTGTAATTTCAATTTATAAATTACATCTTTTATACATAAGTATTTTGCAAAGTAAGTATAAAAAATAGTAATTAATATGTACCTGTACACTATGAAAAGTGTGTATAAAACTACTACTGAAAAATATTTTTCAACAGGAATCTGTATAAATATACATACGTATAAGATGTTCAGGATTCGATTTTGAACTTGAGATCTTTAAAATATACACACGAAATGTTTAAAGTTGCAAAAATTTTTAAACTAAAAATATATTTCCTACAAATAATAAACATTAGGGGCTTACATTTACTCAATTTTAAACATTTTATGTGTTATTTTGCGCTCTGCGACAAATCTTCATATGTTCATTGCTTCATTCACAAAAAATAAAATGCTCTAATTTCACGCTTAAGTAGCCATTTTTATAACATTTAGAAAACGTCATTAATGAAAATCTAATTTTGAAAAAATAAGTATCCCGCAAAAATTCGTCTAAAAATGTATCCAATTGGATCTATTTAGATCCAAACGGCATCCCTGATTATAAACAGAGGTGAGAACTACCACAAACAAGCGTTAGCTAAAAGTGAGAATGTGTTAGTGTCCCGCGATGATAACGCGACAGCATGCAAAATGAATTAGGGACACTAACACATTCTCACTTTTAGCTAACGCTTGTTTGTGGTAGTGCCCACCTCTGCTGATTATAAACGTAAAATAGGGGGCATTCCAAGATGTCAAAATACAAAGCATCAGTCTTTTTTATTTGTAAACCGCACAAGAAGAAAAAGTCTAACTTGCGAAACCTAGTTGAAAACTAGCCTCTAACCATGGTTGCGCAAATGTAGGGATGGCAGCGATTAATCATTTTATTAAATTAATCGATTATTTTTGTGAAATTTACGATTAAATGCATCGTAGTTTTTTGTTCCATTAATCGATTATAAATCGCTTAATTGTTAAATAATCGTAAAAATATTTTCGAAAAATATGAATTCTGTAGTTGTCTAAAATTACAAACAGCCGCAAGAATTGCTCAAGTTCAGAGCATACAATGGTGTAAATCAGGGTTGTTGTTTTGGAATTTTCCTACCAAAATTGTTAGGTTTTTTTTCGTTGTTAGGATGGTAGGACGCTTAAAATTTTGGTATGTTTCTTTGTTTATAAAACAGAAAGCATCTCTGGAGTGTTGTAATGTATCACTTTGTCAGCACTGTGAAAAGGCCTGCCAAATTTTGGCAATACCAATGTTACCCTCATGCATTTAAAAACCTCGTTGCTTACTAGTATAGGCAGAATTTTACCAATTACCTTCGGCAATTCTCTGAACTGTGCATTCGTATAAAAAGTCTTATCCACTAGGTATCTAAATATTTAGTGATTGAATTGATGGGTGTACAGGCAGGTTTTTAAATGAGATGTTTTTCTTTGAAATGCAGTTGCGGATCGATAATAGTTTCAACAATGAAAAGGTTGTTAAACTATTTTAAATGTCACTAGAAGAGCGATTCAAAAATAAAAACCACTTATTGTTAGTCATATTCCGCATAGTAACCGCAACTCGAACAATGTCAAACCCGCAGTTCGCAGATTTTTTCCCAAGCCCGGAGGCTCCTAGACCCGGACATTTGGCAAACCTACGTATGCAAATCAGCAATAAAAAAATTTATGACGGGATTTTATTTGCCGCTACGATTTTTCACGTCATTTACTCCAAAGGCTTTATTAGAACTATAAACTGCGAGTTGTTTGCCTCTTTTTCGGTTTTTCACAATTTATTCGTAATTTTGAGATTTAGAAGTCAAACGGACCTCAGACTCGGATTAAGTGGGTCGAAATACATGCCGGTAGGTGGGTCTGGTTAAAAGCACACACCACTTTTGTTTGTTATGCTAGATATAAAAAATCTGTTTAAAAATGCGCCTATAAATCGAGTATATTTTTGTTTATTTTTAAAATTTGTTGGTAAATTTACACGATGAATACGTATTTTTCTCGTTTACATATTTTCGTGTGTAAAAATCCTTTTTGTTTGCGGCTTTACCCAATTTTACGGGTGAAATCAAACAGCAGATGTGTATTTTGTAGCTTGTACACACTTTCGTAGTAAATTTACACACACCACAACAGCTATATTACACTCTAAAAAGTTCGAAATTTGAACAAACGATTCGTTGAATATTCGAGCATGTAATTTCGCGAATAATAAGGTAGGAAATCAGTAACCTACCTATTAACTAGGAAATTTACACAATTTTTGTTTGCAGTGTAGCTATTATTCTGATCTTTTTGTTTGCTAGATATCTTATTTTAAGTATAAAAACCAGAAAAAATAAATGTATTTAATGCTGTCAAACGCCGCTTTCTTGAATAAATGAAATTAGAGGAAACAAGCCATTTTCGTAGGTTTTTGAACCAGCTCTTGGTAGGAAAGAAAGTTTTTCAGTGGTAACCCTGGTGTAAATCAGTACCGGCCATAAAATAAATGAGAGGAAAGAAGCCATTTTGGTAGGTTTTTGAACCAGCTCTTGGTAGGAAAGAAAGATTTTCAGTGGTAACCCTGGTGTAAATCAGTGCCGGCCACACTAACACTAAGGGCCGGTTACTCAGTGTCTGGTTAACATTAATCTGCGGTTAAACATCGTTGTCGACGTTTTCGACTCCATACATACAACAGGGAGTCGGTAACGTCGATAACGATGTTTAACCTGTAGTTAGTGTTAACCAGACTTTGAGTAACCGGCCCCAAGTGCCGGTTGTTCAATGTCTGGTTACCACTACTTGTCGGTTAAACATCATTATCGACATTTTCGACATCAAGCATATAACATATGATTGATAAAGCATTTGTTGAATTTAAACGGAGCTTCGATCTCCGATATGTGCTAATCAGACATTGAACAGCCGGCCCCTAATGCCTAGAGGAAATCCAGCATAAGTGTGGCAACGTTACACACACAAGCTGCACGAAGTTTTACATTTGAATGTTCAAATATTAGGGGTATTCTCGATCTGTTGCATACTGCCTAGCATGGTGCATAGATATCATGATTGAATAATTTTGTGGTTATTTGAACACATGATTGGATAATTTTTTTTTTGTTGTTTGAACACATGAAACAACAACAAAAGTATCCAATTATGCTATTTATGCTATCTATGCACCATGCCAGATAGTATACAACGGATCGAGAATACTCATACTTTAAAAGCTATTCATGAAACGTTTGGCAGGAAACGGCATATCCCTCGTTTTGCACACACACTTAATTTGGTTTTGGAGAACTCCCTGACCATTCCTGAAGCACATGCAATTAATGAAAAATGTAAAGTAATCGTTAAGTGGCTTAAAAAAGTATTAAAGCAAATGACACTCTTCGCAGAATGCAAGCTTCAGCAGGTGTAACGGAAGGAAAACGCTCAAACCAATATGAAACCTAAAAACAAGGTGGAATTGTACGTATTATATGCTTGAACGGTCATAAAACAAATATTGCTAGACAACTTCAATGGAAATGGAAAAAGATATTATAATAGAAATATTAAGTATTTATAGGCAATATCAGTAATTGTACTGTAGCGAAAAACGCACAACTTTAAACCAAGTAATTCTGCTAGTGCACTGCGGCCCTCATAAATCTCTTGTAAACAAACGAAAGCGAAATGATGATGATTTGGGCCACCCACAAGATTAAATCTGTTTTTAGTTATATTGTTAAGTCCTAGAACTAAAGCAGAATATCATCTGCGCTTGGGAGGAAATGAAAACTGTTTACCCAAACCTTTACGGACGTTTGAAAAAATACTGTCATTTAGTTGGTACTTCGGTGCCTGCTGCGCGCCTTTTTTCAAAAAATTGGAAAATTACCAAGCGCAATAATATTTAAACTTGTATATGTATTTGAAACTGAATCGCAATGTTTAATTTTTCGGTGTTATGTGATTTATGCAACAATTGCTAAAATACCAGTTTGGTCTTATTTTTTTAGGTATGTTGTTTTTAATGAATATACATTTTTGGGATTTCAGTAAACTAAGACTGAGTATTTCATGTTAAAGTAAAACGACGCTAACTTAAATTTTTTTTAGCAATTTATTAATTTCATTAGACCCACAAACTCGTTATCCGCTATTATTCGATAAAGTTTGTATCTCAGTTTATTTGCCACTATTCTTAGACTTTAAACAACACAATTTGAGCTGTTCGAAAGTGCAGATTTTGATGAAATTTTCTTTTTTTAGGCGTTTGCATTTTATCTCGACCGAGACAAATTCTTGTATTTTCGCAAGAAATATTGAACTTATAACGGAGTTTTGTTGATCCAACTTGACTTTTTTATCGATATTTTCCAAGCCCATAATTAAGCCCATATACATATATTTATTTTTAAGTCCATTTCTGTCAGTTTATAATTCCTTGTTATAGGGCAATTCTAAATATCAATTTTGGGCCTTTTAGCCTTTGTAGTTGGTTAAATATTTTAGTTTTTGCCTTTTTAAAAATATCAGTTATATAAATAATAGGGTGGCGTCACAGTAACTCTAAATGACAA